TGACAAAACAAAACACAACACAACAGCCGGCCGGCCCGTCTACTACTGACCTGCCGCAGGCAAGCTAAGCCTCCTCTTACATCACCATTTTACCTGATCACAAATATTTATATCGCTTGCCAATGAATCATACTATTTTCTCTAATCGACTTTCAAATAGAGTGTTTTAGCATTACTAGATAAATAAATAGAGAGTTTCCGAAGGAATGCATATTCTCTATTAGAATACTAAATAAATAAAAGCATTATTATAACAAACTTATTTTCCAAGTTTTACAATAAGGTTTTTAAATGGTTGTCAGGGCGTCTTCTTTCCATATATGCATGAATATAAAACAGTACCTATATCCGACTCAGTATTGTTGTTCAATGGGCATATACATAATAAGCACTAGTGGATTTTTACATGGATTATTCAAACAGTTTTTTGGATGTCCTATAAAAATGTCTCTGAACAACAATTTAAATTAAAAAAACATCACAGAATACCGCCGAAACCAAACCAAAATTTACGGAACAACCGAAACGTGAAGTTCATTATTCGGTTGAATGGATAAAAGTGACAAAATTTGTAAACAAACTCACTTTGGAAATTACCTGCATGCGCTGACCGCTGAGCGACAAATAGCTCAATTAGAATTGAACGCAGCTTCCAAAAGGGATTGCAAATACCAAACCAAATTAGGGCTAAACCTAAAAACCACATTTGAGTCGCTGTGGTATTTTAATAGGGTTATATAAAACTCTCTTTGAACAGTGCAACTTTGGAAATATTCGTTATTTTATACAGGAAATTTTATTATACAGTACATAACTACAAATATAATTATCTATGAATAGATTTTTATTAAATAAATAAATAACTGCCTTCATTGTTAAAAAAATTTCCAATTAAGAAATTTGTAAACAAACAAAAGAGAATAGAAAACAAGTATACAAATTACATTGTCAGTCTTATTGTTTAAACTAAACATTTAACATTTATAAATGTTTACAATGTCAAAGAATAAAAAAAAATTAAAATAATATTTAGTAAGTTTATAGTAAATATAGTAATAACAAATATTAGAGCAGGGTTTACAAAATCAAATTCGATTATCAAAATATGCCATTTACGGCGTAGAAAGCCTTGTCTAGTAAATAAGAGTTCAATGCTTTGCGAAATGAAAAAAATGATGTTATGGATTTGATTTCAAATGGCAGGTGATTGTGCATTTTTTTCGAGTTGTATAATATTGAACTTTTAACTAACTCTGAGCGTGGGGTAGGTAGATAAAGATCTTGCTCCGCGTTCCTGAGTGGATAAGTATGAGATGGCCTTTCTTGAGAAGCTGTTACATGCTTACGGATTAGGCAAACGGATTCAAATATAAATAAGAAAGGAAGAGTTACTATTTTTAATTTTTTAAAAAAGTCCTGGCAATGAGTTCTGCTGTTTAGTCCCAGTGAATATCGAACAGCTCTCTCCTGGAGCTTGAAAACGCGGTCAAATTGAGTCGCACAATACGTACCCCAGAATGGAAGGGCATATCTGAGGTGCGACTCAAAAAGTGCATAATAAATAGTTCTAGCCACTGACAATTTAAGCTCCTTAGAAATAGATATTAATGCAAAACAGGCAGAGCTTAATTTTTTCGACATATGCATGTCCCATTTTAGAGAATTGTCTACAACAAGCCCTAAGAATTTTACAGATTTTACGACGTCAGTGGTGGTGTTGTTAAGTACAAAAGGCTGCAGCGAGTTTTTATACGACAAAGCTTTAGTTTTAGAAATGTTGAGACTCAGGAGGTTTGAATCGCACCAAGATTTAATGGTGATTAAGTCATTTGATATAATCCTATGAAGTGCCGTGACGTCCTTGTTGCTCCAAGTGATGTTTATGTTAACAATGTCGTTAATAAAAAGAAGAAACAAAATAGGGCCTAGTATTGAGCCTTGGGGTACTCCACATTCTAGTGGCTTGCTAGAAGACAACGTGGTATCCACCCACACAAGTTGACTTAGACCATTCTAGAGATATGTTGACCACCAACTGTTTTGAGACCATTCTTGTGACTGCTTTTGCAGCACCTCCAGAAGGGTTCAGGGTCTATAGGGAGACTCTCTAAGTTATAAGAATTTTTTTATCTATCTAACATCTTATAATTTGATCAAAACAAAAAAATTAACCTTTACCCACGCCCTACACTATTATAATCCTTCGCGTCTAACCATAACGCCCATTTTAATGGTAATTTCTCTGGTTTACAGCGTAAAGACACTCGTTTTTCTTCTCGGAAATGATTGCTTTACAGGCGCAGGCTACACTCTCTGCGACGACGTCTGTGTCCTGTGTTCTGACGATTATTGCGAAAGGTGGTGCATTGTTAGCGATGCCCACATCTGACTTTAGCGACACCACTGACCTAATAGACCAGACAATGAAGGTGTGCAGAATAATCACCATCATAATAGTCGTTATGTAAAATTACGGATAATTAGTTAGGCTGTAATAAATTAACATTAAATGCTATTTTTTGGCAAGATCTACACCAATTTTTAGAAAATTGCGTCTAAATTGACGTCGCCAAATCATCATAGATTGTTATTCGCCAGCCGTCTTTGACGCCGTTTTTTACGACTTTTTACGATACATATACGGTGGTCAGAATTAAAATCAGACCCAATTTCCTACTATTTTAAGATAATCGTTTTCACTCGTCTATACCAATATATAAAATCCTTAAGTGACTGACTCACTGATTAATCACGATCCTGCTCAAACCACTCAACGTACGAAGCTCAATTTGGGCATACAGGTTGATTTTTGGGTGTAGAGGTTCGATAAGAAGGGATTTTTTGAAATTCCAGTTCCAAGGGGGCGAAACCACCCCTCAAATATTAAAATATTTTTTATTTAAAAAACGGTCAAGTTTCCGAAAAAACGCTTAAACACGTATATTTCATTTTGTTTTTTACATATTTTAAGATTTTTTAAAAATGTATACAGGGTGTTGTGTGTCGAAAAATCTGATCATTGATTAATTACGATCCTGCTTAAAGCGCTTGACGTAAAAAACGGATTTTTGGAAAACGGATTAACATTAGGGTAGAGAGGTTCGATAAGAAGGGATTTTTCGAAACTCGAATTCTAAGGGGGTGAACCCACCCCTCAAATATTAGAAAATTTTTTATTTAACAACCGGTGAGTTTTTCGGAAAAACTATTTTAAGATTTTTTAAAAATTTATACAGGATGTTTCATAAAATATGACCACTGAGTAATCACGATTCTGCTTAAACTGCTTGACGTTTAAAGCTGATTTTTGGCAAACGGATTGACGGTGGGGTGTAGAGGTTCGATAAGGAAAAACGCCCCTCAAATATTACAATATTTGTTATTTAAAAAACGGTTAGTCTTTCGGGAAAACGCTTGGATACGCATAATTTATTTTGTTTTTTTACATATTTGGAATTTTTTTAAAAAATCATACAGGGTGTTCCAAAAAGTTGGGTAATTGATTAACCACGATTCTGCTTAAACTGCTTGACGTAAAAAGCTTATTTTTGGCAAACGGATTTTTCGAAAGTCAAATTCCAACGAGATGAAACTACCTCTCAAATATTACCAAGTTATGTAATAATATCGCCATATTGTTTTTTTTTTCTCATGCTGACATAAATGTGAGAAAATTCTATCCAGTTTGCATGATAATGGAAATTCTTGCTTTGCTTTATCATCACCATTGCAAATGATTAATTCGACGCGAACGAACTCGCAGGTACACAGTAGTACGTTGATAAAACAATGTTTTTTTCCAGTAGAGAAATAAATCAAGTCATACTTCACGCATTAAGCAGCTATGCCCTGTTTCTGTTTGGTTTCTCAATATTTTCTTGATTCCCTTCAGAAGTGAAATGGATCAAGTCCATAAAATTTAACATAGTGCGCGATTTTAACACACGTGCTAAAGTTTAGAGCTAAAAAATATTTTTTTGATAAAATGAATGACAATGAAACAAAGTCTGAACCGTTTGCACCAAGTGATTCAGATTATCAGCCATCTGAAAGGTCTGATTCTATCGTTTCTCAAAGTTCTGAAAGTTTGATTTATCATTATTTTCACTATTACTACATCAATAATTTAGGCTGTTTTTTTTCTTACAAATACTTAGATATCTCACATGTTAATATGAATAAAACTGCACGAGGAAGAAAAATCTTATCATTTCATATAGACGTAACGTAACCCACTCTAAAAGACAACACATTAAAGATCTTCTTCCCTTTATCCCGCCTATATACCATATTTTTTATAAAAATCGAAGAAAACTCTATTAATAGACAATGTGAAGTCAACAATGTGATGAACCAATTTATATATAAAATTTCACTATTTTAAAATATTTTCAGAGATAAAATGGTTCAGTCCAAAAAAGTATGAACAAACATTCTTAAAAATAACCACAGTTGTATTTTCAGTTATTTTAGTTTGCAATTATACAATTTAAAATATAATAAAGCAGCTTGTTTTATTTTAATTAAGTAACATTAAAAAAAACCTTAAGTCTCATTTTCTTCATAATTATCTTAGAGGACTTGACCCAGTTCACTTCTGAACCCCTCAATACATTACTTGGTAAAATTATAGATTTATTTTATAAAAATACAACAAAAAATATTAAATATCTACAGTATTACTGCGTTTAGTTAGATATCCCTTAGAAAACCCATAAAATAAATACAAAATAAATACAATGTCACTCTCCTACTAGCGTGAAATATCCATAGTCATTTCACTTAAAGCCTGTGCCACACTCTACCCTTTTAAATGATTCATGTTTCTTGTGTCATCGTTGTAAAGGCAGCGTTATTGAATATTCATCACCGAAAATGTTAAGTTTGGGTCACTTAGCAATTCAAAGGGTAGACCGTGTCGAGAAAAATGAAAAATTAAATTTCCACATTAACATTTTGTTATCTTTGTCTTTTATTTAAGTACGCTTTTTTTGTTGCAGCATCTCAGAAGATTACCGATATCAACAGGAAGCCGAAGACGCCTACGCAAATGGTGAGTTGTTAGGCTTGTTTCCAGTTATAATGAGTGTTGAATGAATAATGAATTAAAATGATTAATATTGGGTATAATATTATTAAATATTTGTTTTATGACTATTGATTTTTGTTATGTCACCGATTTTTATTAAAACTGCTGTTATTTACTAATTAAAAGGTGTAGAATAAGAAAATATAAGCTATTGTAATCTTCCGAGAACAGTAACTGATGTAGAGGACGTTTTAACCTTCATCAAAAATAGCTGAAAAACAAGGGTCCAAAAAATTAATTTTCTCACAAAGCCAAGATAACTAAGCCTTCAATGGTGTATATATTCTGAATCTACATAAAATTTGTTACAAATGTTGAAATTTTCATAATTTTATATTCATGTTTACTATGTTTCTAAGGACTTTGAATATAGGTAAAAAATAGTCAAAAATGATAATTTTTTCGACTTTCTTTCATACATACGTCATGTCACCGATTTTATTGAAACTTTTGTTATATACTAATTAAAAGTTGAATAATATGAAAATATAGGCCATTGTAGTCTTACGAGAACCAGGGGCGCATTAAGGGGATGAATAAGGGGGGTAATAATCCCTCCCAGAAAGAAATTGTTAAAATATTGTTTAAAATAAAATTTTCACCCAAAGAATTAATGCATACGCAACGGTGTGCATAGTGTAAAAAGTGTAGACACTTTCAACCATTCCGAACTCATCTACAGTAAAATTAGAACTAAAATGTTATTTATACGCCTACCGTGACATTATTTTCATTCCATTTACACGCCATTCAAAACCAAATTACAAACAATGCTCTTTTACAAGCTACACAAACCATATTTTCTTCTTTTTTATCCTATGAGGGCGGGTGTCAAAACAAAAAAAAACGAATGGACCTACACACACTCACAACTAGAGGCACGGTTCTTTTCTTTTTTTTTATTCTTTCTAAGTCTTTAACTCCGTGCGAGATTTATGGAGTCTAGAGCGACCTCGTATAAATTTTTACGTACGAAAAATACCGTGTCACGAGGGCCGTATAACAAATAGTGTCTCGTATTGGGGTAAGACCACTGAGTTTGTAGTGTTGGAAGTAAGCTGGGGTGCCAGTTTCTTCCCGCGCTTTAGCTGACAGTTGTGACGTCATTGTAGTCCTTGTCATGGTAGTCTGTATTATTGGTTGCCTAAGGTAAACTTATAAAAATAACAGCTGAGAAATGTTGAGTAAATTATTTTGTCGATTTTAAACGTGAAAAAGGTGTTTTTAAGGTTTTTAGAGCTATAGAGTGTATAAAATACGTTCATTTTGTGTTGTGGATTGTGACTAAGTGCCTCGATATTGTTTATTAATTATTTTAAAGCAAAATATGGAAGTACTCTAAAAAGAACGCCTGCAAAAGGTGATGCTGGGAACTACTGTTCTTAAAAATGCATTATCCGAATATTAATACGATTTATACAGTTAAATTTCTATACTGCATACATATAGGGTGTTTAAATAAATAAACTAAATGTTGAATGTTTTGCATATGGCAACCAATAATACACACACTATCATGACAAGGACTACAATGACGTCACAAAGCGAGGAGTTTTCGTATGCAGCTGGCAGACACTTTCGGCTGAACGAGCAGTCCTATTAGGTTAACCGTTTTACCGTTCTTGGGTATGTCATCAAAATAGTGATAATTTCTCTGTTTCTAAATTGGCTACAGTTTGAGTCAACCAATGATGCAGGCAGGATGGAGCGAAAACAAAACTAAAGACTTAAAAAAAATGATGGAAAATACAATATACAGGGTGTTTCAAAAAACATGTGCTATCTCTCGTGGGGAGATTCCTCACGTAAAAATAAGATTTTTTTTTATATCGCCATAGGTCCGATTCTGCTTTGTTTCGTAGTTACAGGGTGTTAAAGTCAATTTTGACGGTAAAAGTTGCTATAAGTGCTACATATTTTAATGCTGAAAAAGTGTCGATAAATTCATCAAGGACGTGCATATGGGTTATCACTGGTATATTTAAAAAAAACATGTACGCCACTGACTTTTTTCTTTTGATATAAAAATTGTATAGGCCGTTTAATGGCAATTAAAAGTCATGTCTTGATATTTTGTCTAATTAGGCCTCCTTGACGAGATAAACGCAATTTTATTAATCACAATTAATAAAAATAAAATTAATATAAGTTATAAGTATAGTATGAATCAATGAGTACTTATTTAAAAGTTTCGCAAGTTAATGATATTAAATTTTTTTAAAGGTTGCTATTAGACTAACTAATTGCTAAAGGTTGCTATTAGACGGCAAATTAATAAAATTGTGTTTATCTCATCAAGGAGGCCGAAATCGTCAAAATATCAAGAGACAACCTTTAATCGGCATTAAACTGTTTACACTATTCAGCTTACAAGAGAAAAAAGCCAGTGGCGTACATGCTTTTTTTTTAGAAAAATATTCCAGTGATAACCCATATGCACGTCCCTGGTGAATATATCGACGTATGTTAAAGTAGGAAATGCCTTTCAAAGAGGAATTCTGGAAAGCCTCCAACCATTTTATAACTATTTTACTCTCATTTTGCTTCCACATGTTACTTTTTTTAAGGTAACATAATAAATACTGAGAAAAAAAGAACTCTAACTCTTGTATCTCGCTGGTCTGGTAAACTAATCCCTTTTTCTTTATTATAGTATTATATTTAAGAGGATATTATTAGAAAAATGATACGCCTCTTCGGTGGTTTATTACCCTTAAAGGTCCGTGGACAGACTGAATAGAAGGGTAATAAAAACATGGAACAATGGAAGAATATGGACTTCAGAATAGATGCATTGTGTAATTTTTGTTATCCAGTATAATATGAGTCCTGGTATGAATTCGTTTTGAAATATTTATGGTTAGTAAAAACGTATATTATTACAGAGAAAATACGTTTTTTTAAACACTATTAGACAGTTAAGTTAAGAAAATGACGATCGATGACGTTCCCATAATTGACAGCGATCTTCATTTCCAAGCTATCTCTGACATCGTTTTTTTTTCGATCATATTGTACCTAATAAATAGAATCTAAACGGAAATTTTCTAGCTAAACAAAGTTACCTAACCTCAAAAAAATTAAGTTAATTTTTTTTAAACTGTCAATTAATAATTATTATCAAAATTAAAATTGCGAAAAATTATTAGAAATTTTCTCCCTTGTTTCTCCGATTAGAAAAGTAATTTTCTCATAAAAGGGAAAACGTATTATAAAAATTACTTTCGTTTTCCTTTTGACAACATAATTTTTGTGATAAAGAACCAACATTAAAGAAACACTGAAGCAAATATGACTCTTTAATCTTGAAAACGTCTTCTTTATTTATTAGATACATTAAAAATATAATTTAATAAAAGGAACATTTATGAAAGGGAATTTCCTTTTAATAATTCGAGATTAAAAAAGGATTTATTTAAATTATAATTATTATTAAATAATAATGTCGCGTATTTATTCTAGTTCTTGCTGGTTTATTAAATTTCGTCTTGATGATTAATCTTCTTGCTGATATAAGTTTATTAAAATTCGTATTTTAGAAAAATCTTCTTTTTTGTAACAGCAAGATCAATAATTCCTTAACTACTTAACACCGAAAATTACCATATTTTTTTTCGAGAAACCCGCTTTTAAATATTAGCTTAATGCATAATTAACTCAAACACTTTCGTGAAGGGTTTACCAAAAAGAAATTAAAAATTTTCTTTTTTGTTTGTTTTTCACTTGCCTCCGTTTTACCCAAGTTGTTTTTAAAGAGAATCGTTAATGGGGAGTTTTAATTTCAAGCTTAAATAGGGTCTTGAACAAAGGCTGATAAGATTTGCCCTCCCTTGTTCATGAGATTAAAATTGTATCGAAAATTAACAAACCGATATTTTTCGAGAAAAGTATTTCGCAACTGCAACATAAATAAATAATACTCTAAGAGCTAGCAACGTTTTCGAAAAAATATTTTAAGACGTCTGGTTTTTGATATATCTTCTATTAAGCTCTCTGGAACAGCATACTGCCCGTCTAGCTGCCGATACCCGTTGCGTTCACTACTGCGCATCCGAGGAAGATCCTATATTTTTTATTAATTTAGTCCTATAATTTCTAGTATTGAATATAAATCGAACATGTCTCCTAGCGCAGTGCGTAGAGTTTCCGACCACGAACCGATGATTCAGAGTTCGAATCCGGGTCAGGACAAAGACTTTTTTATTTTATTTTCGTTTATATTCTGATAATAAAGTATTAAATAATTCTGGTGATTAAAAAAAACAAATATTTAATACTTTACTATCAGAGTATAAATGAAAATAAAAAAGTCTTTGCCCTGTCCTGGATTCGAACTTTAAAGGACTAATAAAAATATAGGATCTTCTTTCAATGCGCAGTAAGGAACGCAACGTTTACCAGCAGCCAGACGGGCCGCATGCTGTTCTAGGGAGCATAGTAAAAGATATATCAAAGAGCCAGACGTCTTAAAATACTTGTTTTTCCGACGTTTTGTTTATTCACGTAACGATGGAAATATTCTTGATAAAGCTAACGATTTAAACCTTGTATTTTTTTAATGGAGTTATTTAGTAAGAACGGTTATAATCACACTCCCCATTAACGGCTTACTGTTAAAAGCGGCTTTGACAAATTAGGAGAATTAAAAGAAGAATAAATAAAAACGGAATTTTTAATTTTTCACCATCGTCTCTCGGAAGTTAAGGGTGGCCGAGGCGTTAAAAAATGTTTAATTAACTTATGTACGAGCCCTATAAAATTCCCTTTTTATATGCAAAAAGCTTAATTATCATCCCTTTCACACGCAATGTTTATTTTTAATTAATCCTGTATATAATCCGGTAAGATACTTGCGTATCCGTGTGACAAATACAATAATTAAAAAAAATCGCAAAGATTGGTAAAATTTTCATAGATAATGTTAATAATAGAATTCTATGAATCTCTAATTTAGATCATAAATA